ACCTTAAATATGATTTTTTCCCAACAATATATAGGGTTATGGTCCCCAATTTATATGTGAATTTATCATTCTTTGTGTCATCCCATCAACACAAGAATACAAGAGAAAGTATATTGAAGAAGAAGATCCACAAACCCACAATCAAGAATCAAGAAGAAGGTTTGGAGCAATTAAATTGAAGAACAAAATATCAAGATTCATTATTCAAGTTACAAATCAATGGATCAAGGTACGTTTCGCGTTAATTAAGTTTCTTGGTGATTTGACATAAAGATTTTGGCAATTATGCAAAGTTAATAAAATTTAAGTTTCTTGAAAAATTTCAACAAGTGGTATTAGAGCCAATTCATGTTGAATCATTGATAATCGAAATTTTAATTTCGTTCTTGTGAAATTTCATTATTTTCGAATTTAGCAATCCAGATTTATCTTTTTTTTTTAAATTTGAAAACTTTTTCTAGCGTGTGGATCAAGAAATTTCAATTTAAAAAAAAGGGTTCTCGCGCGCAATCACTGTCGTTTTGCACCTACTACTAGGAGTGGACAAAACCCAAACCAAACCAACCGAGCCAACCTAAACCGATCGATTTGGGTCAGTTTTTTATATTATTTGGGCGGGTTTCAGGTTTTTGGATGGGTAATTGGGTCGGTTTGGGTTGGTTTGTGGGTTAACAACCCAAACCCGATAGAAACCTACCCGAAACCAAAAAAAAAACTATTTAAAAAGAAAACCCTAAAGCTAAAAGGCAAGTCCAGCAGCACACTGTGTCCCCTACTGCTCTCTAGCTCAAATCGCCTTCAGGCGACCCAACCATCCCAAGTCCCAACCCTCCCCACCCACCAACACGGAGAAGTAACTAAAGCTTGTTATTGGCGGGAAAGGTAATTTCTATCTTCTTCCTTGTCTGTTAATATTTAAGGAGCAAAAATGGGTGGAATTCCCCTTGAAGAGATAAAAAAAAATGAGACTGTTGATCTGGTACTATTTTCATTTGTTTCCAAGTTTAATGATTTGATTTTATGTTCCTCGTTTTGTTTAAGGCTGATTTTCTGCTCTGCTATCTATCATATCCATTGTGGATTAACTATAGATCAAATTATTATTTTCAATTTATTACGATAATTCATTTTTGGGTTCCATTCATTTTACCCCAATTTTGAGTTCCATTTTGAATCAACTCATCAAAATTGTAGGAAGATAACCTCTAGGCATTTTCATTTCCGAGTTGACGACTGTCTTCTTGAAGCATTCCTTTAGAAATTACATATATTTGCTTTCAAAAAAAACCATTCATTTAATGGGTTTTCTTGTTTATGAATGAATTGATGTGTGTTATCAAAGCCAAACATGCTTGATATCTCATGCAACAAAAATAGCCAAGCAATTCTTGTTTTTAATAATTTTTTGTTCGACTTTATGAATTCTTTTTCAGACACTCTTCGGTTCATTGCTAACTACTTTATCCCTTGCATCACGATGAATTTCATTCATTGTCTTCCTATGTGTCAATGCCATGTTTAGATTAAACAACATTCTTAATTTGGAAATTCATTTCTCCATACAAATTTAACAAAAAAAAAAAAATCTGAATGTACTTGAAACTGCCTTGAAACTTGGAGTGCTCACTTCTGAAGAATTTGATAAGCTTGTAGTGCCAGAGAATATGATTGGTCCCTCTGACTAATCAAATCAGGTTTGGTTAACTTTTTAGTTTCAACAAATTAGTCCTAATAAAGTTACATAGTATAAAATAATATCCTAATTAATTCTTTTTTTTTTTGGAGGATTTTCATTAATTTATAAATACATAATATATTCTTTCGCATTACCTCATAAATTCATCCAATCATCTAAATGAAATCAACTGAGGTTTGTGTTGAAGTTTTCTAATAATTCTACTTTCTAATGTGTTGAAGTTTTCTTATAATTCTGCTTTGTTGGTAGATATGGATTTAGGGGAAGAAAGTGGCACTGGGACAAAAGCTCAATCAGACTCAAATGCTACAGATTTGCAATCTGGTCTTCCTCTGCGTGCACCGTCAACATTGGGTAAACGAAAATCTCATNATGGATGTAGGGGAAGAAAGTGGCACTGGAACACAAGCTCAATCAGACTCA